TTCTCTTTGGATTGAGTGTGATTCTTATTTGGCACTGCATTTTTTTTTTTAAAGGATCTTCTCATGTGCCTTGGCGTTTGTCAATTGATTGGGCAAATTGTTATACCATTCTCTCTCCATGCATGTTTGGATTTCTCACATTATCGCAAAGGAAATCAGGTGGCCGATTGCTTGGCAAACTATGGTGGTGATCTGCCGTGCGTAGTTGCAACTTTTAGTCAAATCTTCAAGACTTCCCAATTTTTTTTCCACACAACGAAAAGAGCATATGCAAGGCGAGGATATTATTGGACTTTTCACTCATAATGAAGTGTCTGTCATCTATTTATCTTTACAGTAAAATCGTTCGGTATATTACAACCCGAGATCAAACAGAGGAAAATGCTAACAGGTTAAAGGCCTGTATTTGTTTTATTTATTTATATGTTTGGCCTTAATTTCAGAGAACAAATTAAGCATAAAAATAGGATCACCTGTGAAAACCGGAAGCAGAACCAGAAGTAGATTTCCAGCCATAATAAGCATTTAGATTTGGCGATTGGCCACCTTTGATATCTGGCACTGAGTAAACTCCTCTGTCATTCAAATCCACAAAGTCAGACTGTAAAGCACCAGCAATAAGAGTGTCATCAAATGCAGTCAGATGGGGGTAGGCTTCGCTTGGAGGGCATTTACTTGACTCACATTTCAAGCACTGGCTGCAAAGTCGCTTACTCTTCAATTCTTGGTCATCATTTGATGCATATGCACTAGTCATTACCAGGACAAGTAGGCACAGAGAAAGGCAATGCCAATACCTATCCATGCTTGTAGCCATAGCTTCTCTACCTTGCCGCTCTCTCTCTCTCTCTTCCTCTCTCTCTCTCTCTCTCTCTCTCTCTCTCTCTCTCTCTCTCTCTCTCTATATATATATATGTATATATATATATATTGTTGGTAATCCTAACAAGACAATTACATTGTTATATATAACAAAACATTTTTCTTGTTCTTGATGTTATCAGATTCCTTTGTTTTGTTTCCAATTAGATTTATGGAATTTAACTTGCGGATTCTCTATTGGCTTTTAAGTAGAAGAATATAAGACTTAGCTGGTAATAGGCTGGCCTTCTTTCTTAGTGGAGTTGTGGAAACTGGACATGAAGAAGTTTTGTATGCACTTTCATTTTCTCCCAAAAGAAAAAAAAGGCATAAATTCTGATCTTATGACTGTACTAGGTATATACTAGGGCGGCTGATGATGGCAATTGCAGGCTGTTGAGGACTCCTGATCAATTACTTTATGGAGAGAGCATAAGCTGTTAACATTGTTTGACATTTTTGTTTTCCGATAACACCGATGTTTCATTTAGGCCGTCCAAATTCTACAATAAATGTCGTTGGACGTAATTGGCCATAACAAAAAATTGGATAAATGCAGTACCATTTTCTTTTTTTCTTTTCCCTTTCCTTTGGGTTACAATACAGTACATAGGGTGCTTCATTATGTCTGTAGCGATCGGCTTATTAGGCTTCATAAACTTAAATTCAAGAGGGAGTGAAACTCATCCTAGACTACAGAGTGACCTACACAGCTACACTTGATAAATTCGGACATAAATTCTAAGTGGTAAACCAAAATCACCAGCGCCCTCACCTGACTGACTCGAAACAGGGTCGTTTTGGACATAAGCATGGTGCAAACACGAGTAGATCTGATTTCTAGAAGTTACCATGCTTCTCTCCTTGTCAGGAAATAGGAAATCCAGTTTTGAGAATCAATGATGCATGCGTTAGTAGTTAGTAGTTACCAACTTCCATTCCATGTTCCAACTTCCAACCTCCAACCAACTGGTAAAACTGACAGACGGAGTCAAGTTTGAGTCGCAAGTATATGCTGTTTTAGCCTAGGGAATGGTGCTTGGCATATTCCACTATTCACTGTCAGAATACCTAACATCAGATGAGATGAGATGAGATGGTCCCAGTTTTTAAACCCAGTGCAGGCTGAATCTGAAGCTCAAGGCTATCGACTATCTTTCTCCTTATCCCTACTATACGAGTTGTTTTACTGCTTGTATATATGGACCATGGAGGCATCATTTTGCCAAACGTGTGTGCGACAGACCGGCCTATTGAGTATAATTGGTGGTGGTAATTTGCAGCAGTGGATATGTTTGTTGCTGGTCACCTAGTTATTCCGTGATTCCATCCATCTGCGCTCGCTTCAATGTATAATTTGTATTTGTATATGTAGCATATAAGTTGAATATCAGAATACGAAACGAATAAAATTAACAAAATAAGAATATTATTAAACAAATGAGAATGTCAAAATGACTACAAAACCCTAAAAGACTACATTGTGAATGATTTAATTCTAAAACTAAATTACAATTAATATTTATAGAGAACTAAATCTAAGAAACCCTAACTCGAATGGGCTAAGCTCAAATCCTAAACTAACAAGCAAAACCTAAATACTAAAATAAACCTAAATACTACTATTTTCCAACACCCCTGTCAAACTCATGGTGGTACACGACATGGGTTTGCCAAAGTATATGTGGATGCAAAACTCCAAATTTCAATGCCAATGCCCATGCCCATGGCAATGCCAATACCGATGCTGATGCTAGATTTCCATTCCAAGTTCAAGCTACCATGCCCAATGCAAGAATACACGGGCCACAAAGCAACCATATTTTTTTCCTTTCTTTTTTTTCCCTTTTTTTTTTCTTCCTTCTTCTTCTTTCCGTGGTTCCTTTTTTTTTTCCTTCTTTTCTCCTTCGTCCCCTTTGTTTATTTGTTGGGGGATCTTCTCCTCTGCAAGCAAAACTTCTTTTTTTTCTTTCATTTTTCTTTTCCTTGCAAACAATCAATACCAACTAACAAATCTAAAACGAACGACGACAAAGGCAAACAAATTGATACCAACGAGAACAGATTGAACCCTAAGGATCAAACCCGCTCTGATACCAAATTGAATATCAGAATGCGAAACGAATAAAACTAACAAAATAAGAATATTATTTAACAAACGAGAATGCCGAAACGGCTACAAAACCCTAAGAGACTACATTGTGAATGACTTATTCTCAAACTAAATTACAATCAATATTTATAGAGAACTAAATCTAAGAAACTCTAACTCGGATGGATTAGGTCCAAATCCCAAACTAACAAGCAAAACCTAAATACTAATATTTTCCAACAATATATACATGCGGTATTGTATATTTGACCGACGGTCCTTCTGAATAGATGACCATCAACAAACACATTCATAATGCAAGCAATGTACATCCATCTCTTCACTTCTGTTCCTTCTGTCTCACCATCTCACCATTTACTGGTCGTACAGTTACAGCCGAGTCTCGATCGGTGTTTGTGTAAGCTTTGCATGGTAATGCTAATAATGTGTATATAAATCGGAAGTTCATGTTCCTTTTATTTCTTCTATATGTGTCTTATCATGGACAGCATGAATCCCACATCGGGAAAAGAGATGTCTTTGCATGTGTTTGTAAGTAATTAGGCTACTCCCACCATATTTCTAACTGATTTTATGGTGAAAAAGATGCATAAATCCGAATCTAATTGGAGGGCATCACAATATTTCTTTATAAATTTTCAAGAGAAATTAAAAATATGAGACGAAAGCTGAGAAGAGAGAGAGCAGACAGCAGAGGTTGTAAATAACCCTGTAATTGAATTGAAATAAGCAGCACCTTGAGTTGTAAATAACCCTGTAATTGAATTGAAATAAGCAGCACCTTGAGTTGTACTGATCATGTGGCCATTGATAATTAGCTAGCTAGCTACTAGCCTACTGCTAGTCTGCTAGGCACCAGAGATGCATGAGAAGAAACTTCGGTGGCTCCGAAACCGGGCAAGTTGCTTTGGAGGAGGAGAATTAATGGAGTCATCAGCGTCCACCGATGAAGAGAATCCTTGCATAGAGTTGGAAGTAGAACCGAGAGAAACAGATTTGTGACGGCGATGCTGAAACTGACGACCTCCATGATTAATAATGTTTGTGGTTGTGGATAAGGACGACTGGTTCCGACGGGCAGACGCGCCATTAACATTAAATATCGTTGGAAGATGATGATCAGCTGAAGGTGCAGGTTGGGGAACATAGACGTAACTGTTGTGATCGATGTAGAAGTCAGCGATGTTGTAATTACTAGTTTGACCTGATACTGGTGGGGTTGCTGCTGCTAATGAGGAGGAGGAGAGGCAGCTGTATTGGCGGCGAGTTCTGTTCCTCTTCATTGCCTTGTAAACCATTGGGATCAGACCCTCCATAATTATAATTACGGATTGGATCTAGTCTAGTCTAATGAAGCTTATCGATCGATCTCTATACTCTATTCTCTAGGCTGTTGTCGGCTCATGATCTGTTCTGTATCTGTGCGAGATGAGGAGAGAGAAGGTTGCTAACTATTTAGACATTTTTTCTTCTGAATTTGTGAAAGATTATGGATGAGCAAGCAAGATAGCCAAGTAGCAAGAATACTCTTTGCAATATATATAAATACACACACACACATTATTTGAATTCAGTTGGAAAGGTTCTTGGATGACGCATGCATATTATAAAGAAATGAAAGCCACCTGTCGCAAGTCAATCTTAAATAGTTGCTTCTTTGTGACTTAAAAATGTTACGAGTTCGAATCATAAAAATAGTGTTTTTGCAAAGTAAGAGTAAGACTGCATCAAAAAATAGTGTCTTTGCAAAGTAAGAGTAAGACTGCATATAATAGACGTTTTTCTCGACTCTCACAAAGCAAGAGCCTTGTTGGCTTGGATCATGCTTTATGGTTGTTTGGTTTGTTTGGTGATTCATTGGTGCCTGCATCTGCATCTGTAAGATTATACTTGGTTTTTTTTTGTCTTTTGCTTTTTTGTTTTTTTGTTTTTTTGTTTTTTTTGTTTTTTAGTATATTGATATTTTTACACTTAGGGGGCTAAGTTACATAATAGACAATCTAATTTGGTATCAAATTCATCATTTACGAGATTCGAACTTAAGACTTTTCATTTTCAAGTAAAGAAGAATATCACCAGAGACCTAATATTCGATTTGGTTTTGAAACTTGAATTGGTAGTGGTTTTTGACAAATAAGCCGCATGATAATAATAATAATGTTATATTATTTGGTCTTGTAATAAATAAGAAGAAAAAGGAGGATGGGATAGAATTTTTTGAAAGAAGATTTATATATTGAAATTAAACTGAATTACAAAGATAAGTCTTGGTGGATGGTATTTTGTATAACACGCCAGTTTTGTATTTGACTTTAAATTTATAAAATGGAAGGAAATTCCATCGGGCAAGATCTTTTATCCCACTCAATCGAAAGATTTTTTCAGTGTGACCGGTACATGAGTTGGTACACTACGTGTCACTATACAAATAATGGAATATGTGTGCTAAAAAGTTAATAACTTAAAAAAAAATTCCAACCACTCCTATTAAAACACGTGATCTACCACTTGTGTTTCCGTCACAACTAAAAATTTCTCCACTCAAACTCATTCAAGGGTCAAGGCCTTTCATCCCAACCAATCCCATCCAAGTCCCAATAAGACTCTTAAGAGGAAGGATAGGGACGTTATAGAATACGAAGGAATGACTCATGAAATGGTCGTCGTCGAAGTACATCAATTCATCATCACTAGACTAATCCTTTCCTTGTTATCTCCTTCAATTCTTTTAGTAAACAAATACAAACACGTACACAAAACGCTTCTTTCATTCATTCGTTATCGTCTCTCTTTTTGTTTATACAACACGCACAACCAACTTTGAAACGAGATTATCATATAAATATTTACAAGCACAAAACACTTTATTCATTCATCATCGTCCTCATCTCTTTTCAATATTATACGTATAGATAGATGCATAGATTTTTTTTTATTTTGATCATATAGATGCATACATTTAAATGAACAATTAAACAATTAGAATTAGTTAAGAAGCAGGATAAGCAGCATCTCCAGTTTAATTCTGTTTACTTGGTCAAGCCAAAGCATATATGGGCTTTCGTTTTCCTTGCACCCACCCACCCATTTGGCATTTGGCCCGATTTGGGATACGGCCGATTGCCTTCCGCCTTCCTTGTAATTTGTTTGGCGAAGAAATGAACGACTTGTCATCTCATCTCTACTCAGTCTACAAGTATAAGACATACACCTCCACTCTATCCTGCCTTATCAACAAGCAACTTGTCTCCGCTGCTCACGACTCCAAGACCAGTCAGTCAGTACGGTAACAGATGAACAGTAGCCACCTTTCTTTTACTTTTTAAGTTTTATCACTCCTCAACTTTTACCATTCTCGTTTCCTTTCCTCTTTAACTTTAAAAAAAAAGATCGTACCCAGTGCACAAGGCTCCCGCTTTACGCAGGGTCTGGGAGAGGTGAATGTCGGCTAGCCTTACCCCCATTTATGGAGAGGCTGCTCCCAAGTCTCGAACCCGAGACCTACCGCTCATGGGCGAAGGCATTTGCCCGAACCCGAATCTGAAACTTCTCAACTAAATTGAATCGGACATCATACATAACTCAAACTATAACAACTATGGATACAACAGTGCATGCACTCTTGTTGATCCTTCAAGCAGTAACTGTTTCTCCATTCCACCTGCAGGAAAAAAAGGAAACGAAACCACCACTTTGGACCGGTTGAGAATTGTCGCACTTGCTCTACTACAACTAGAAACATACAAGAGAAGACATCAAAGGTAATAATCTGTGTTATACATGGAACAACTCATTCTTGTAGCACTGACTCCAATCTGAATCCCCTGAAGCAAGCAGCCCCCCACCTCCATCAGTGCTTATGGACTCGACAGTAGCACACACTCTTGATGATGACTTAGGACGAATGCCGCCTCCTTCATCTTTCCCACCAACTCCTCCATCATCCAAAACTTCTGCCATCCGAAACTTATAAGTTACATTCTCATCTTCTCCTACATGGACATTGATTTCAGGACTCTGACTGGCTTCTTCGTTTAATGGATCTTTGCCACACCCATTGATATCTTCCTCTTCATCAGATAAACATCTGCAGCAATCATCTTCATCCATATCATATATACGACTCATTAACCCTTCTCTCCACGATATCCTCATCTCCGATTGTGATAATTCTCTAGTGTAGAGTTGGAGAGCCAGGAAGCGCGATCATCCAAAACTTTATGGAATCGGCTGATTGAATCACAGGCTGTGGTTAGACAGTCAAACTGGAAACTCGAATCAATCTGATCCTCAATTAATACATGACTGTTCGTGTTTGGGGACAAGTTTACCATCTGAATAGCTTCAGCCACTGAACTCAGTTCAGGATCAAAGCAGTGTTTCCTATGATTTTCTACACTCGAGTCTGATTGAGGAGTACAGATAACATTGCCACTGTCCAGTAAAACCATAGAGAACGGAGAATTATCATCGTCATAACCATAATGGTGTTTTCTTTCCTCTTCCAAGAAGTTTACAGCCTCACAACCAGGCATGCGATGCAGAGAAGACATAACACCAACATGCTCATTTAAGGGCTCCAACACTTGTTGAAAACTTGGAGAAAATCCATGACGACCTAAGGTTGAAAATGGAGAACAAAGATTAACGGACCCTGCAGAATTATGTAAGCTACTATCGGAATGCTCCTTGTGATCCTCATCCCCTTCATCACACGGCGATAAAAGCCAATGCATTGAAGCTTCAGTAGGTAAAGGAACCGCAGAAGCATCGAGATTGCCAACATGGCCTTCACATTGACCACTTTCGTCATCATCGTCATCCTCAAAGCTACCTAAAGCCATCCCTTTACTGAAGCCTGAATCATTTTCTCCTACACTGAGAATTCCTCTAGCTCTGCACTTCCTCTTGTCAGTGATCCCTGAAAGAACATGGCCAGCAGCATAAAGAGCAAGTATGCTCCTTGACACCGCAGATGATCCACATTGTATCTCTGGAGACACGGAGGCCTGAACAGGTGGAGTTTTACTATTAGATTTGTCAGAATTCTCCAGCACATCCTCAGAGTTATCAGCCTTGGAGTCCAAACCCAACCCAGTCGGTATCTTACTCAAAGGTGTAAAATCTCCATCAATACCACGTGATTTGAGCTCAGTGGGCTGACCTGCATTGCCCACCACCCTGACAATACTACTTTCTACCTCAGACCCAGACTCTAACTTACTCAGGGAACTTACATTTGATTTTACAAGTGAACAAGTTTTCAGCTTTGGTCCGTTTCTAGAAGTGGGTTTGTTTCCAGACTGCCACTGGTACAAGCAAGAAGAATTATTCTTAGATTTACTTGCATTTCGTGAGGTGGGTTTCTCTGGGTTTTTCAAAGCATTGAATTTGGACCGGTTGTCCTTGGCTTTTGATGGTCTTGAAGGCCTCACAGCAGGAGCTGATTTAGGGGCTTTGGACAGATTTTTAGGTGTGTAAAGAGGGGTTTTGGAATTAGAGGAAGAAGAATGAGAGAGAAAGAACCTGAGGCAACCTCGCGGGGCTTCGACGGAGATGGAAGACGAAGCATCGCTGCCATTGTTGCTACTGCGAACGGTGATGGCATTGAGATCCCGTAGTGGATTTCGAGGGCTCTGCTCGTTTAGTTTCTTCTTCTTCTTGTTCGCCGTCGCCAGTGGCGGTGCCGGAGAGGCTTTCTTGGTGAGCTTTGACGACAACGATCCGTTCATAGCCTGTGGTGCGGAGGCCGTCACTCAGCAGATCTGGAACCAAACCAAATGATTTGAAAATCTAATCCCCGGGGAAAGGGGGGGAGGGGGTGTGAGGGAGGGTATAGCCGTAAGGGTACGGAAAGGTCATCTTCGTTTGACCAACATGCCCATTAGTTTCTGACATATTTTCTGAAATGCCATCACTTGGCGGGTGGGGCCGAGTGGTGCTTCCTAGCGTATGACCCACGGACAGCGATCAGCTTATCATTCATATGACGTATAAAATAGACAGACAGATCAGGCTTTCAGGCCAGTGCAGAGCAAAAACATGGAAAGAAAGAATTAATGTCGAATTCCAATTGAATCGTCCCAAGTTCGAATCTTTTAATTTTTTCTGGTACAATCACTCCAACCCAATCCAATCCAGAAAGTGGTTTCCTTTGACTGCTGGATTGATTCTGAGTTCCAGCATGGCAGATGTGGCGGCGAAGGAAACCAAGAAGATCATCATTGACACCGACCCTGGTATCGGTCAGTTGTTTTCGTTCTTCAATCCTGAATCTTGTTTACTTTTACTATTTACTACGTACCATCATCATTTGATTTGTAAAAGCTGTCCACAAATTCAAGCTCATGTAATTAATTACTTAAAGGACCCATGCCTGCCAACTTTATGGCGAGCTGTCATCAATTTCTGTTCTTTTCTGTGTTTTTTTTATTTTTAGCAAAAGGAATTAAGTAGATCAAAAAATCTGATAGATATGCGACTTTTCTTTATATAATCAAAATCATATGGGGGAGGGGTACTCAGAAAATCAATGAGTATTCTGAATTTGTGTGTTTATGGCGTCTGTGCATGCAGATGATGCCATGGCCATCTTTGTGGCATTACAATCCCCGGAAGTGCAAGTGATTGGACTTACTACTATTTATGGAAATGTTTATACCACTCTCGCCACAAGAAATGCCTTGCATTTGGTAATCTTACAACATCTGCTTTTTCTTTCTATCTCTCATTGCATTAGGCATTTCATTGACTGTCTTGGTTGCTTACTTTGTATTTGGGGTTTAGTTGGAGGTTGCAGGGAGAACCGATATTCCAGTGGCGGAAGGATCTCACGTCACAATAACGGTATGTTTTCAACCTAAAAATCAATTTAGTCTATTTGTATGTTTCATCAGTTTCATGACTACTTTTTCTTGTCTTCCCCGTATTATTTTCTGCCTTGAGTTGTTTTTCCTTTTTCTACTGTCTTGGTATTGTGTTTGTTTACTACACCTGTGTCATAAAGTTGAAACCAGTCTGAGTTTAGTTGTCATCGTCGTCATATTCATGGTGCTACACTACTAACATGTGGTTGGTTTTCATGGATGCTATTTGACATCACTCATGCACAATGTGAAAAATAACGAAGGCATAACCTGACATCACTGTTTGTAGATTAATTCAGAAATTTCGAATCCATTTCTTTCAGTATCTGTTTTTCACCTTTATTTCCAAAATAACTTAGGAACAAAACCTTAATTAGCAAACCTAGGAGGCTGACTCCTAGCATACATGATAGCAGCTAAAGTAGTTTCGTAGGAACCTCTTGTTGCCGACTATATCTTTTGCTCATGTAGTTTTGATGACTATGTTCTTGCATATATTGACAGGCTAATGCATGATTAAGATTCATAACTCATCAATCATTTCATCTTTTTCCATGAAAAGAAAGGTACAAAACTTCGTATTGCTGATTTTGTTCATGGTGCGGATGGACTTGGCAACCAAAATTTCCCCCCACCAAAAGGAAAGCCAATTGAGCAGTCGGCAGCAGCTTTTCTGGTTGAACAAGCAAGCCTTTACCCTGGAAAGGTCACTGTGGTAGCATTGGGCCCACTTACAAATATTGCACTGGTCTGATTCTTGATACGTTGCACGGTTTTTCGATTTTAAAATTATTCTTAATCGTTTGTAATAGAGTATCCCTTAATGCAGGCTACTCAACTAGACCCTGAATTTGCAAAGAACATAGGGCAGATTATTCTTCTTGGTGGTGCTTTTGCAGTCAATGGGAATGTCAATCCAGCAGCAGAGGCCAATGTAAGTTTCTTGAACTATATGTATTTAAGATTCAAATGTTCAAAGACTTCAGCTTTAGTTTATGCAACTTGCTTCACATTCGGAAACCAGATATTTGGGGATCCAGATGCTGCAGATATGGTATTTACATGTGGAGCAGATATTTTGGCTATGGGGATTAATGTGACCCATCAAGTTGTCTTGACAGGTACTATATTTGGAAATTTGTATTCCTTGTTATTAATGATGATGTTTTACATAACAACTGACATATGTATCAAAGCAATGCCTTCTAACAAGTATACCTTAGATTTGTGGTTTCTAGCGTAACCTTTGACAACACTTTTTCACAGAACCTTTAAACCCCATCAGGAGTTCAATTAGCCTGTATGCATTAATTCCACAAAACTCACTTCCTTTTATAGTTCTTCTGGAAATCGTAAAATACAACTTTTGGAATCCCATGCCGGAAATTTGTTGTTTGTGCCAAATTAATCATTTCTATTGATAAAATTGGTGTATTTATGAAAGCAGTATGATGGAAATAGCCACTTGATAATTGAAATGCCTGTAGGAAAAATTCATGCATGATTGTGTTGTTACGTAGATCATTGTAATCCAGTTTATTTTACTTTCATTATGATATATGAAAGACGCTGATCGAGAAAAGCTGGCAATGTCAAATGGAAAGTTTGCTCAATACTTGTGCAAAATTTTAGATGTGTACTTCTCCTACCATCACGATGCGTATAGCACAAAAGGTTAGGTCACTAAAGTGTCGATGAAACCCTAACGGATTGGAACTTCCCTAATCACGGACATACTGATGGTTGATTTATTCATGGTGTAGGAGTTTACCTTCATGACCCTGCAGTAGTTGTTGCAGCTGTTGATCCTTCACTTTTCACTTACACGGAGGGTGTTGTTAGAGTCCAGACAAATGGCATCACAAGAGGACTCACGATTCTGTACAACAAACAGAAAAGGTAGAGACCTTCTATTCATCATTCCAGATAAAATGTAAAACGGAAAAGTCGTTGTCTGATTCCTAGTAGAGTTGAATTTCCAAATTCTCGTAACAGCTAATGGGGGTTTATAGAAGAAATCAACACTTTTATTTTAAGTGTAGACAAAAGAAGAACCACACGTTAGAGCCCGGGGCCACCAATTTCCTCAAACTCAATTTTAAGACCTTTTGCATTGTCCTGTGATGATGAATCGATGATAAATTTTCCGGCTATATGATACTCTTTGATTGGATATATGATAGAATGTTGTTTCAGTATATGCTTGGATGGCTTTATCTTTATACAGATGCACAGGTAAATGGATATGGTTTTTTTCCCTCACGTCACACGGCCCAAAAATTTGTTATCTCCGAGACCCTGCGTAAAGCGGGAGCCTTGTGCACTGGGTACGATCATGATGAAATATCAGGCTTAGAACTTAATTTATCAATTCCGAGATTCCATACAGTTTAGCTGACTATTGTCTCTATTAACTCAACTGGATTGGATTGTATATCGATTATTTAGGATGGCCTAAACAGAAGATGCGTACTTAATAGGAACTTTTTGAATTCAAACATGCATGTATAAGATACATTGTTATATTCTATTAATCTCGACATGGAGGTATACCATGGTTTTATATGCAGTCTTCTTCTGTTGACATCTTTCCACTTAACTATAATTGATATATATATATATATATATATATATATATATATATATATATATAGGTTTGGCGAGGTGACAGAGTGGTGTGATAAACCCACAGTCAAGGTAGCAGTGACGGTTGATGCCCACACAGTTGTGAAATTGGTTATGGAACGGCTCATCGAATCATGAGTGCTCATCAAATGCAATGCATGCAGCAGGTGTGGATTTCAGCCTCGAGGACTTGGCTTCAATTTCATTAATTTCAGGAAGGGAAAAGCAGTCCAGCTCCAGGTGGTTCACGTTCGTCACTGCTGTTAGGTTGTGTTGCCCTTGCTTGGTGTGTAAGGCATCCTGTTTGGATACATTGCACAATCATGTACAATTTATCACGTGCTTCGTACGACTATTGAGAATAAAATTGTTTCTAGTCTGCTGTTTCTTTGGTGGCAAGAGTGAGTCATGAGTGTATGGGTTATGAGAATGAATATGTGATAAACATGGCCGAACTGTATCCAGTTTGCAACCATGTCATGATGGTGTGGTAACAATTAAATAAATACAAATGATAATTCTTTCTTAGAAATCTATTCCTTATAAGTAAACATGCTCAAACTATATTGAGTTTATTAGTGTGTGAACTATAAAACAAAAGACAATGGCGTAGAGCATGTTGAAATTGCAGATAGACTGACATTTCTTAAGCTCAAGATTTGAATGGAGAACTCCGTGCAATTTCTTGACGAGCCTAGAACTTCCATTTATAAATTAACAAAAATATTCGTAATTTTATCTTAAAGTTTCTAATTAGTATTTTTAATCAATAATATTATTTAGAAACATAAAACGCTTGGGAATATATGCACTCCAGTGGTTACTAGAGGAGAATCTCATACAGGTATGAAAATGTGTTAACAAGTGTCAGTTTTGTGGATTTTTTGCTATTTTTGATTGTTTCACGAAACTACCCTTCTCCTTGTTTCTTTTCACGAAAATAGCCTGTAAAAAAACAAAAGTCGCTTGCTCTCGCCTCTCGAGGTGCAGGTGCAGGTGCAGTTTCGACTCCCGGTAAAGAAGATGTAATCAAAGGTGGGTCGAATCTCCCTTTCTCCTCCTCGCCTTCGCCTTCCATGACCTGCCCGATACACATCAGTGGCTGATGGTTGTTTCTTCCTTCCGTTACCATTAGAGTCTCAGACACATAGAGAGATGGCGAGCGTGTGTGGTGGTGGTGTCGGATGAGTGATATTGGACGAGTGTCTACTTTTTGGTGATACCACTGTTACTTGCAACGAGACGACTCCGTAAGCTCCGCCATTCCAACGCTCCTACGGTCGGTCATCCTCCTACTAGTCTACTACTACTTTCCCTTTCGCTATTTTTGTTCCCGTTTTGTGCATCTGCTCTCAATTTTCCATGTCCATTTGTTCTTCTGCCCAATGTAATGCCTAAAATTGTTTATTCAGCCTGTCATGTCAAATCACGATTTCTTCCCATCACATGATTACTCGCTCGCTCGCTTCTTTTTCTTTGATTTGTCCTTTACCTTACAATTTCCCCGATCAAAATAACGAAATTATTGTTAATTAATCTTTTTTATTCTTTCTTGTTTCGCTTATCTTTGCATGCAGGAATTTCTTATGGAGCAGGTCTTGAAGCTCATATGGTAAAGCTTCTCATTTTCCTCCACGTCCTTTTTTGTTACTTACACTTACACCCTTCTTCTTCTTCTTCCATCTTAATTAAACAAGGAAAGAAAAGAAAAAAATTATACCTTCAATCTTGTCTCTTGTCATATATAGGTTAATATTCTCAAAGAAATGGCGGCACACTACTCCATCCATTGCTTCCTCTTAGATGCATCCTCATCCTCTATAGACGAAGCTATACGCGGGGTTATGCTAGGCCTAATACTCGAGCCCGTGTTTTGTATCTAGTTCCCAACAACAAGCAAGACAAGTTTTCTAAACTAAGCAAATGCGTTGGCTGATCACCCTTCTAAGTGAGTATCACACTTTCATGCTTTCCCTAACATTTTTTGACCGTCAATCGTGTCTTGTTGTTGGCTGAAATGCAAATTATTTTGATTTCAGATGTTGAAGGCAGCACCGCATCCACGTGTGAGAGTTCAAGCATGGTGTACGTCAACAAACTACACGAGTTGCCTTTGACTATTTTCCAAATAAATAGAAAGGTTTTTCAGAGTAACGCTGCTGTCCATATCCTGCTATTCCTACTGCCTTTGACTATTTGTTTTTATGTATTCGGCTTTTCCTCTCCAGCTTAGCTTAATGGCCTATGCATTGGAAAAAAAGGGACATATTTTCTTCTATATTGCTTGTAACTTCAAATCTTGTGCTTCACATGGAAAACAGGCATTTGGAAACAGTGACAGTTGGTTATATTATGAAGCCTTCTCATGAAGAGGATTTTGCTAAGGTGAGCTTTCTGTCAAATTGAAGGTAGAGAAGAAATATTGATACTTGGCATCGTGCAAATATGAATTGTACACTTCTGAAAGGCTTTGACTATACTTTTCACTTTGACTGTTCGCTTGGCCTTTTGCACTTGTAAAAGTACCATGATAGATTAAATGGCTGTAATTATTTATTTGAAAATGTCTAGTAATTTTGTGTTGAGAAAATCTCTCTGTTTGATCTCATTTGCTAAATCAGACATATACATGATTGAAGTTTGAGCTTACAAGTCATCTTGATTTTTTCAGAGGGGTGCATTCCCTATGTATCCTACTCAAGGCAGGCTGATGTTCGTTCCCCTCACATTTGATCTCCCTCTAGCACCTCAGTTGCAAGAAGTTGATGTAGTTCTCCATAAAGCAACCGATGAAATTATATCCATTAATTTGGATAACTCTGTACTATCTTCTAACAGCATAACTTACAGCAGGGGATGCAGGAATTGCAAAGGTAACTTCTGAAGTTTATCGGTCTAATTTTTCCTCCATAGGGAGTAGTTGGCTCCCTACCAGAAGAAATAAGAATACAGTTTCTGGTATTTCCATATAATAGCTCATGTGAAGTGCGTTAAGACCGTGACATTTATAACTTTTTCTCCTATTGGAAATTAAATCATTTAAGCATGGAATTTGAGATGAATTTCCACTTTGTGGCGTTTATACTCATGCCTACTTTTGTGACATGACATCAGTAAATGCATAAGTTTGTAGTTTATACGCTTCAGCCTTCCGTAAATATATCCCTCCCTCCTAATGTTAGTTTTAGACCTTCATCATGTTCATACAGTATTTATTTCTTGTACTTTGTATTCAAATAATCATTTTGATACCATGCACCAAAGCGTGTCCCGGTATTGGATTGTGCAAAAGAGCACTATATAACATAGTAGTATCCATGTGGGTTGTTTTAAATATCTTTTTTTGTTACACAGATATTTGTAACATCACATGGACCTCTGTGTGATTGACCCACTTAGGTCTATTTATCCTGTAGTAAGATCGTTTGAAATTCAACAGATTCTACTTGGGTTGGAGGATCTCAAAGCCGCAGGTTGCTGCACAATTAGGGGGCCTAATTTTCTAGGGTGTGTGCATATGTGTTTTTTGCTTTCTCACAATGGTTTCGCAAACTAAAAGGAATCTGTTTGATTATTTAAGTTGCAGATATTTTCTCGGTAAACATTTTAGCAATTTTTGGCAGAAATAGTCATGGATATATCCTGTAAGCGTAGTCTACTAAGTCACTGGCTATCTTAAGGACATGATTGAGCATTTTGTGCATATAACAAAAAGAATGGTTTTATTTTATAATTATTAATTTATTATTATTTATATGTGCGCAGGTTGATGATTTTAACCAGTCTGATTTGGTTAAAAGGCTCTCCAAAGCTAAATTAGCTCTTAGTAAAACCTCAAGTTGCTTGTGGTGTGGCTGGTGCTCCCAGCATGGTAATGCTTTATTTATTAGTAAAAGAAAGGGATTATAGTCACAAAGCTGCAAATAGTATTTTCTTGTTTCCGCGTCATATTGGATTGCATTTAGCACCATCTCTGAAAGATCTTTATATATATTTGCTAAATGAATTGAATTGATTGCTGAGCCAGTAATAATGAAATGAGATTTGGGAAGCATACATGTTTATCAAGTTGCTATTCTTCTTCATCCAAATTCACCATCTCTGTCTTATTGTTTAAATTAGAAATTCAACCCTTACATTACAGGCAATAGTTTTTAGAGTTGAAGATTTCAAGGGTATGACTGTTCTTTCTTCCAGCAATTATACAGGTGAGAAAGATTTAATTTTCATTCGATGAAGTTGGTATAGCCTCTTAACCTGATATGTTTGATATATGAGTTAATTTACTCCAACCTAATGCAATGTTTTTCAATTCAAAAAATAGGTGCTAAAGTAAAGGTAAGGTGGGTCACACATGCGCATGCTTGCTAGCTTACAGGGTTTTTCTTTGAAAATGTTTGGAATTGCAGGAATATGTGGATCATTCATCAACACTCTACAAATTTTATGTCTTGGGCGAGAAAGTTTATCATGTGGTTAAGAGCTCTACTCCAAATGCAGATGGCTTGAAGAAATTATCTGGGAGTAATGAGCTCAAACCGTTAGTCTTTGACAGGTAGCACGTTTGCTTCCCCTTCTACTCCTCTACCTCTCCTTTTGGCTGTAGTTTGTTGATCCATGTAATGGATGAACCATGACGTGGTGATCATCCTTCACAGCTTAAAATCCTTATCCACTGCCAAAGGGAACCTGAATTTTGGAGATGGTAATAGCTCAAAGGCCACTAATAACTGCACTGATCTTGAGTTGGTTACTAGTGCAGCTAATTGGCTTATGAGAAAGCTTGGACTGACCATCTTCAGCTTCGATGTTGTTGTGAGTAGAGCTGAAATACTATGTTGATGTGTGGCTGGGATATATTGTGTCCCACCTTTGACGAATTTTCTGTGTCATGTGGGTACAGATTGAGGAAGGCACCGGTGACCATGTCATTGTTGATGTAAATTACCTCCCATCATTCAAAGAAGTTTCCAACGAAGTTGCTATCCCTGCGTTTAGGGTTGCGATTAATAAGAAATTTGAATTAAAAAGGAGGAAATAAGCAGCAGCTAGTGTATTGACTCTGCCTCGCCCTGCAACAAGTTTGTTAATGAAGACGAAGTTTGATCATGACAAGAGATTGACAGAAGCAAGAGTTGAAGGTGGAGATAACTTGTGTAATTTTCTCCTTTCTTCTTTCTTTGGTCGTTTTAAGATCATCTCCAAAGATGTTGGTGAGAGCATATCGCTATTTTCAGTATGAACAGTAGGGGTAAGATTTTCAACGTCGCTTAACAAATGTATTAAACGATGGGATTATATGATCAATTTGGCAATTGAAAATAGGTTAGTAACGTAAGAAGTTGGATAGAATCCAACTGTTGAAAGACTTCAATCTATCTATTGGTTGGTTTAGTAACAATCGGGTGCAATAGCAGTTCAATTCAGTGTAACAACAATGAGGTTAAGCAGTGTTTTTAAAAAGAAAGCGAGACTTGGATAGAATAGATAGTTAATGTAGTGTCTCGGGCTAATAATCTCATGTTATATTAA